ATCCGATATCGATCCGTGGGTAGGACCGCCTCGTCGGCGTGTTCCAGCAAATAGTTCCCACCAAAATACCAAACAACATAAATATAAAAAATTGATCTGCATAATATTTTAACACCCATCACATTATTTGTCCATAAAAAATGCACGCATGCTACCATACCAAATTTACAGGAGTGCACTTTATACAACAACATGTTGCAGGTTATAAAACAATATTTTGTACTTTATAAAGTAAAATTTACACTTTATCTCGACTATAAGATCGCCCAAATGAATAATGAAACCAACCGAACTCGATATTTTTAACCAAGATTAATATTATAAATAATAAATAAAAATATTAAGACACTGAATTTAATTATAATATAAATAACAAATTATTTCGATGATTTAGAATGATTCAGTTAACTAATCACGATAAAATAATAAATTATGTTCATTTTCAATTTTTTTTTATCGAAACGGCAGGAATATTATAAAACTAAGCGAACCAAGTTCGAATGTACAAACAAAACAAACAAAGAAAAACTAAGAGGACACGCATAAAGCGACCTAGAACCTCAACCCAAACTGCTAAAAAAAACCAACAAACAACAGCACCCTCCACTGCCCGAAGGCCTAGAGAATAACTAAACTACCCAAAACAAAGAGAGCCTACACATCAGCCAACAACAACCAAACCCAAAGAAGAAAAAAGGGAAAAAAACATTAAATATCAACTAGGAACTCAAAGACAAAAAAAATCAGTCCAGTCTTGGTGAGCAGCTTTAAGGGTGATCTGGACTGGCATTAGAATGTTTTGAAAGATGGTAAGATTGCGGCTTTTCCAAAGCCACCAGAGGATATAGGTGGTGAGCTGGATTCTAGCCTCTGATGTCTCCGAATTCCCAATGGAACAAATGCTCTGCCACCAGCAACTGAAGGAGGAGTCAATGGAGGGCTGCATATTCCAAGAAACTTGAGAAACACTCTACAGATTAGCAGCTCTTTTGCAGTGAAACAGAACATGAGAGATAGTTTCTGGAGATTCTCCACAAATACTGCAGATTATATCCATGTTCAAGCCTTTTTTCTTCAGATTAGCTTTGACAGTGAGAGCACCAACCAAACACTTCCAAATAAAAATTTTAACTTTGTTGACAATATTGAGCTTCCATAATCTCTGTCTAGTCTGGGATAAAGACTTGCCTGTCACAGTGCTACAGCATGGAATATCCAAAGTTAGGATCTTTTGCTGAGATAAGAATGCATAGGTCCTGGCCACTGTAAAATCCCCATTTTTATTGAACTGCCAGTAAAGTCTGTCTTGCTTGCCAGGTTTGAGAGTTTTGATTCCCAGAATAGCCTTTCTGTCCTCCTCAGGAAATAGTTGGTTAATGATCCAAGAATTCCACTCCAATCCTGATTCAGAGATGAGCTCTCTAACCTAGATAATGTGGCCCCTGACTATGTCAATCAATCTTGGCTTTGGATGTGAAAGATCAGGAACCCAATTAACATCATCCACTCTAGTAGTTACTCCACTTCTGATTTCTACTGCAAAGCCCTTGGAAAAAGTGGGAATGACACCAAGCTAATTTGACCAAAGCCAGGAACAACTTTGAGATTTAGCAGCATCAAAGAGTGAGAAGTTGGGGTAGTATCTGGCCTTCAATATTCTGCTAACTAGTAAGTGAGGCATAGATGAAATCCTCCACAACTGTTTACATATCAAGGTTGTGTTGAAGAGTTGAAGGTCTAAAAAACCCAGGCCACCTTTGTCTGTAGGGAGGGATAACATTTTCCACGATTTTCATTGAATGCCCCGGTTCTGATTCTCACATCTGCTCCACCAAAACTGAGAACAAATCTGAGAGATTTTAGCACAAAGAGATTTAGGCAATATGAAACATGACATAGTGAAGATAGGGAGCGCTTGGAGAACAACCTTGATTAACACAGCTTTCTCAGCTTGGCTAAGCAATTTAGATTTCCAGTTTTCCAGTTTGCTTTGAAAAAAATCAATGATGTACTGGAAGGTGTCCAACTTGGACCTGCCTATGCCCAAAGGTAAACCAAGGTACCTAGTTGATCTATGCTTAGAAATACCATTCAAGGTAGCACAGATTCTGTCTTGAAATATATCAGGTGTCTTTTTACTAAAAAGATAGAAGATTTATTCCAGTTGACACATTGACCAGTAAAGAGAAAGTATTTATCCAAGATAGACAGAATAGAGAGAGCTTGATCAACTGTTGCCTTGCAAAAGAATAATGAGTCATCCGCAAATAACAGATGAGATTTTCAAACCAGTAATAATCCCAGACTGTGAAGCATGGTTGACAAGGGCAGATAACATTTTAGTTACAACCAAGAATAGATAAGGGGATAGGGGATCCCCTTGTCTAATTCCTCTAGAAGGGATTACATAACCACTGACTGCCCCATTAATCTTGAAAGAAAAAGAGGTGGTAGAGATACAGACCATAATGAGGCTGACAAAATCAAGGTGAAAACCCATCTAAAGCATGATTTTTTTTATGCATAACCATTCCACTCGGTCAAAAGCTTTCATAAGATCAAGCTTCAAAGCCATGAAACAATGCTTATCAGATGAATGTCTATTCAAATAATGAAAGGCTTCATGCCCAATGATCACATTATCCATAAGTTGCCTGCCTTTTTTGAATGCAGATTGAGAGTCACTGATGCAAACATCCAAGCATTTTTTAAGTCTAAGAGCCAGCATTTGGACAGTATCTTGTATATGACTGTGCACAAACTTCTAGGCCTAAATTGAGTCACATGTTCAGGATGAGGACATTTAGGAATAAGAGTGACTATGGTATGATTCCAGTATTTCAAAAGAAGGCCTTTGACATTAATAAAGCTGGAAATTGCAGCCACAACATCAGATTTGACAATTACCCAAAAGTTTTGGTAAAAGGTAGTTGTCATACCGTCCTCCCCCGGGGATTTATCAGGATGAAGGCTGAAAAGAGCTGACCTGATTTCTTCTTCAGTAACAGGTTGAAGTAAGCTTTGGTTCATGTCTTCTGAAATTGAGGGAGTAATGAGAGGAAGGATTGAGTCTCCACCCCAAGAGCCCTCAGTGGTTAAGAGGTTGGGATAGAATTGAGTTATGTGCTGTTGAATAGTGTACTGAGAGTCACAAACAGTGTTCTGAGAGGTGAGGAGCCTAGAGATTGTGTTCTGCTTCCTTCTTGATCTGGTATAAGCATGAAAATTTTTTGAATTATTGTCCCCCTCTTTTAACCATTGCAGCTTAGCTTTCTACTGGCAAAAAAGTTCTTCACCCTTGTGAGCTTCATGCAGATTCTTTTTGGTAGCTAGCCATTCTTCCCAATTCTCAGAGATCCCCTCATCCTGCAGGAAAGAGAGTTTCTTGGATAGATTCTCAATGATGAACTGATTATGGGACTTGAAGAATGCACTCCATTTAAGCAGGGCTTGTCTGGTAGCTTTGATCTTCTCCTTTAAGAATGAAAAAATGAGTTCCTGTGAAAGGAGAGTTCCAAGCTTGCTGAACTGTTTCCTTAACTCCAGCCCTTGAGAGCCACCGTTTGTCTAAATGGAATCTGCTCATAAGTTTTTCCTTCTTACGTCCCGCATTTAACAGGAGCATGGAGTGGCCTGAAGCTGATTTGGCTATGTTGGAGATATAGGCTTGAGGATGCAAATCCATCCAATCAGGAGAGGCAAAGCCTCTGTCTAGCTTTGCTTCAATCAGACCTTCTGCGGACCTATTATTACACCAAGTATATTTATAACCAATAGAGGTAATTTCCTCCTTCTTCATCCCATTAATGAAATAGTTAAAACCCCTCAAACTGGCCTGAGATCTCGGGATTCCCCCCTTTTTATAATCTTGCTCCCTGATATCGTTCCAATCACCCACTATGTGCCAGACTTTGCCCCAAGAAAGTTGGTCCTCCAATAGTTCTTCCCATTGAGCCTGCCGAGCCAAAGAACTGGTAATAAGGTAAACGAAAATAACCCAAGAAAGGATGGATTCCGCTATTTTGTATTTCACTATTATGTAGAAAGATTTCTGCATAATCTGATGAATTTGGACTTCTGATGACCAACACAACAGTAACCCTCCACTTAATCCCACCGGATCCACAATGGAGTACCTGTTATCGAACCCCAACTTCCTAACTACAGACTTTACAAAGGCAGCTGATTTTTTTTGTTTCGAATAAGAAGACAAAAGTTGGGTGGTGAGTCTTGTATGACTCTCGGATTTGGGAAATTGTAGAGGGCCCATCCAGCCCTCTACAATTCCACACCGCAGCTAACATTTATCACTTGGGCGCCATTCGAGGCTGGCCGCCCCCACCTGAGCTGAATCCATCTTCAGTTTCTTATTTTCTTCTTGTGCCAGTTTCTGAAAGCCTCTATCTTCCTCAAGAGCTTCCTCTGAGTCCCTAGGCCGTCTGCTAGATATGTTATCCTCCTGGTCTAGAGAAATTAGTGATTGTCTTTGAAGCCTCCCCATTTTGGATTCTGATCTCTTCCACAACTTAGGTTTGTAATTCAGCGTACCGGCTACCGTAATTTGAACAGATTTTTCCTTAGTTACAGACACCATAGAATTTTCCACTTCCATGTCTTTGATAGCATTGAGATTGTCTGTGCTAAGCAGTGCTACCTGAAGTTAATCCTTTGCAGGAAGAGGATTTTCTGCTTGCTGGTGAGGGATAATATGAGCAATAGCCTTGACTAATTGCGAGGGGGATGCTTCAGAGTCTTGTTTATTGAGCTGAGAAGGAGAGCCTTCTATGGAAAGGATTTTGTTACTGTCATGTCCATGAGATTTGGTGATAGGGGTTTGAGATTCTGAGTGCACCGGAGAAGCTGGACTATCATTGTGAGAAGGGCTCTGGGAACCTGAGGAATGATGACCTGCCCATCGATTGTATTCAGGGGCTCTCATCCATGCTCCGTATTGTCCCTCGTGAAGAGACCGAGATTTAATATCGTCTAATCTGACTGAGCAAGCCCTATCCAAGTGGCCAATGAATCCGTAATAGTGACAGTGGTTCTTTAATTTTTCGTACTTGAAACCCACATTAACCGTTTGATCCTCTAGCCTGAGATGTGTGTACCGAGGTAATGGCTCTTGAAGATCCACTGTAACCAACCGTCTCATAATTTTCCCACCGTGGCTGCCTGCTCCAACAATAACAACATTGTTTACCTGTTTAAAAACTTTACCTATCTTCAACCCAACCTCAGTACTGAGCTAATCTAATGGCATGTTGAACACCTGTACCCAGAGGTTGAGTTCTTTGAAGGTGGAGTGATTGATCATCAGGCCCCTCTTCCATTCAGACAAGATGAGGTATTGGTTATCGTAAGTCCAGTTGATTCCTCTTGCCACTTTATCCTTGTCCTCATTGCTTTGAAAGATGAATTGGTAATAATTTGTCCCCAATTCTTTTATCTCCATCGGTTGGCTGAGCCTCCAGATATGGCTCATGGCTCATTTGACTCCGATCCAGCTGGTAATTCTGTCACCAATAATTTTACCAAAGAGGCTATGATGACATTCATCCGTGCTAATCTTAATGTCACTTCTGCCTAGATCGATAAACGAGTGTTCTTTAGATAAAAGCGAGACATTCTGCAACTTCTGTGTCAGTTCGTCGTCTTGACCAACACAGCTTGAAGAACCCATCGAAACCCTTGAAAAATCAGAAAGAGATGAAACTTCGAAAGGTCACCCTCATAAATTCACCCAGCTGCTCAAAAAGGGAAGAATGCAAGTGAAATAAAGTGAAACACAAGATTAAAGAACAGGAAACAAAACAAGATCACTCCCAATCGAGAGAATGCGGATCGCTCCCAATCGAGAGAATATTTTTTTTTGGTTCATTTTCAATTTGATTGGGACAAAATTTCGGTTGGTTCAATATGCACAATACATACTGACACTGTGCACTATATTGTTGGACGAATTGCACCTTAATAACTGTTAGATTGTATTGTATACTGCGGTTATTATATATTAATATTTAATCAAAAAATAATATAAAAAATAAATAAAAAATATTAAATACTAATCATGTTTTTTTTTTATAATAAATACTATAATTTACGTCGCCTAGTTTGGTTATTTATGTTACACGACAAATTAAACCCATTATGCATTTAGATTAGTTGTTTTTACCTTTATTTTTATTTATTATTATCTTTTTTTATCAGTTTGAAATTTTAAATTTCATTTGGATTAGTTGTTTTTACCTTTAAACCACATATTAATACACAACATTGTTCACACGTTTCCAACAAAAAAAAAATTACAATGTTATATGAAAAATATTAGACTACGAATTAATATTTTAGTTTAGTTATTTTGGCTAATTCAGTTAACCGATCAAATAAACTAATTATGTCGGTTTTAAATCGGTTTTGGAACAAAAGTTCGGCCGATTCAAACTGCACATCAGCAACTGAAATGCAATATTGTTAAACACGTTGCACATTAATGTATATCAGGTTGCACATTATTGTGTTTTTGTTTATTATTATTGTGTATGTTAAACTATTAATAAATTACAAACTTTCTTCAGTTACTAAATTGCAATACCAAAAGTTCTGAAATTGCATAAAGGTCCCCAGAACTTATCAAATTTTCAATTGAAAGTGTTCGGATCTATGAGGATTTCGTTATGTACAAGTCACGGACTCAATAGCAAACGTAAACCTATGAAGCGGATCTAAAGGTTTGACGTAGAAAACTTACAGCTTAAAATTTATAGCGATCTGGCTGAATTCGAACGGATGACCGGGATGAACACACGAACTGGATTGGATCACGAACGGAATGTCGTGCTTGCAGGCGGTTCGGGTCGTACGCGTGGATCGAATCGTTGGGATCTCAATAACCGGATGCAGGGGCGTGTGGCGTCGCGGGGCTGGGCGCATCGAGGTTGTCACGGTGGCACGTCATGCGTCCGGGCTGGTCGCGTCTTGCCGACGGGGCTGCGG